ATCAGTTCTCTTGGAGACAATGGCTGCTTTGGGCAGTAGATTCTATGGCATTATACCCTCCTGAGGTCCCTCCCCACCCAAAATCCTGCCCTCCCCAGGCTCTACCCCTCAAATCTACAGGTATTTCCCAACCCAGAGTTGGCAACTGTGCAACTGGCTATGGAACCACTTTCCAGACCCTTGAAACCCAGAAAACGTGGCACAGGAGGAGGTGCTTTTCTACCTTAGCTGTGACTGCATAGCCCCAAATTAACATAAGCCAACCTCCAGGCGGCACCTGGAGGTCTCCAGCTATTAAAACGGATGTCCAGATGATCAAGATCAGTTCTCCTGGAGACAATGGCTGCTTTGGGTAGTGGATTCTATAGCATTATACCCTGCTGAGGTCCCTCCCCACCCCAAACCCTGCTCTTCCCAGGCTCTACCCCTCAAATATACAGGTATGTTCCAACCCAGAGTTCGCAACCGTGTAATCGGCTATGGTACCACTTTCCAGACCCTTGGAACCCAGAAAACATGGCACAGGAGGAGGTGCTTTTCTACCTTAGCTGCCACCGCATAACACTCCCCTCCCCCTCAAAAAATAAGTCAGAGGTGGAGAGAACCATATCTTTTACCATGAGGCTGTCCTCCCATTCTACCCACTTGGGGAAGCAAAATGACTTGAGACAGCCCTGCCTTATAGCTAAGCAGAAGGAAAGAAACATGGCTTGCCTCCCTCCATTTTCTGCTTCCCTCTGCCGCCCCACCAGCCACAGTCGGGACACTCATCTGGAACTTCCTTCTAGATCTCGTTGTATTTCTTCCCACAACAGCATTACTCCTAGTACACAGATAAAACAAAAAACCCAAGACATGCTAGCCAATCAGAATCAAGGTTAAAATTCCTTCCTGACCATGTTAACCAGCAGCAGTTATTCAGGTGAGTAGAAACACCAGAATTAACACATGAAGGAATGGCTAGGCAGATTTTGTTGGCTGACAACTTGAAATGCCTCTTGAATACACAACACTGATCAAATAGGAGCCTGACCACTGGCATGGGAGTTCTCTGGCTGAGCCAGTGCTGGGCATAATTTCCCAGGGTCTCCTCCTCCTACTTCTTCTATCTATACACAGTAAGTGTTCTAAAGTAAGGCTACACTTGGAGACTTATTGCTTATTTTCCTTGTAAGTTCTGACTGGGAACAAAACTTGACAAACGAAGGCGTGCCAGACAAAAGTGTTTAGAGGAGTAGATCCAACTTGCATCCTTGCAGCTGGCCACCTCTTGTATAGTCCAAACTAATTCATATAAAGATTGGTACAGAAATAGCTTTTGTAGTTTAAAGAAGCACAAGACAGACAGCTACGCTTCTGCTCATGAATGAAAAAAACATACTTCAAAATGCATCTTATGCCATGTGCGGCATCCATATTCAGCACCCATGTAAACCATTTGTAACCCGAAACATTACTCTGTGTGCGCATCTTTGAGAAAGAGCAAGTGTGTATCCACAGGCATAGCCATTTTCATACAGTTCATACAGGAATGGTAAAACCCAATTTTTGCTGCCCACAACTGAACAAAACACAGAAAGCAACATCCTGGTCTTCTGAGCATTCCGTTAACAATACTACACAGTTTTCTTGTTTATTTCAAAACCAGTTACCCAAAATTTCTACTACACTTGAGAACTTTAGCTAACAGGAACTCATCTGAACAAACTGAAGACTTGACTACAGCAGTTTCCATCTGTTAATGTTGACAGGAAGTTAACTGCCCCAGTTCTAGTGGCCTGAAAAGCAGTAATACCTCAACAGCAGCATCTCTGCATCAGCTGGACATGGAACAAAAATATGTCTGGATAGAAGAAAGCTCTTTCTATACCCTCCCTCCTACCAGGGGCCATAGCATAACTCAGCACATGCAAACACAGATGGAAAATGTGATAATGTGTGTCTGTGGGAATGACAAAAGAAATTCCTCTGTCAGCAACACAAATAAAAATGGCATAGAATAATGCAGACTCTGACTTACTGACTGTTTACTAACTGTTATACTATTATAACAGCAACTCAAGATACCTGTTGGAGACTTTAGAAATGAGTTAAAAACAAAGAGAAATGAGCTGGTTTGTGATGGACACTTATAGGTGATGAAGGACACCAAATGACTCTGCAAACAATAAGGCTCACCAACCCATCAATCCAACCAAGAAAACAGATCACATGGAGGATGTGATGGCATAAATATGTGCATTCTCTTACCTCCAGATTAATGTTAATTGAATCTCATTTATCATCATTGTTCTCATCTGTATAATTGTGTTTTCATTACAAGGAGAACATAGCCATTACAAAAGAAAGTTCATACACACTGGGTCAAAAAACACTGATACAGTCAATCAGTTCCCTTCTTAATTAGATGAACCCCATGACTCAGAGAAGCTTATAGGTAAATGGGATTTTACAGTCTATAATATAATGCCATCATGAATCTGATACAAGTCAAATGATAACTTTGGGTTGTATCCAACCAGTTTTTCCACTTGTAAAAAGGGGTCCCCTTTGACCACCAAAAAGGCTATGTTGGGGAATCATGGGATCTGCAACAAAAGTCACATGGACTGTGGGTGGTGGTATTAAGTAGAAGAACTAGTTAAGACTGAGCAAAAAAGCTAACTGGATCCAACCCATAACATTTAATTTTGTATATTAAGCAGTAAACGTTTTAAACTATGAACATGCACCATTAGGGATAGGTGCCTTTGATAACAATCTAGAGTAACCAGGTAGAGTGTTTAAGAACTATTAAATAACTTTTCATACTTGTAGCCAAGCTGTCGACATACCACAGCTGCATCCTTATCGGACCATCCATCATCACAAATTGTCCCCCACTGGCCATGGATAAAGATCTCTACCCGTCCTTCTTTCTTATTTTCACCATCCATCAGTCTGATGGGAGGCCCTGGGAACAAGTTACAGCTGTTAAGATACCAACAATGGTAGCAAGAAATTGTACACTAGCTAATATCCATCACACTCAGTGAAAGTGGTGAAAGTGGTCAACTGAAGCTCAAATTTAACATGCATTCCAGTTTTACATATTAGGGCTGAAAGTATTCAGATCAATTTGGGAGGGGCCATGCTTCAGTGGTAGAGCATCTGCTTGGCACGCAGAAGATTCCGGTACTGGGTTCAATCCCTGGCATCTCCAGTTTAAAAAAAAGGACCAGGCAGCTGTGGGTGCTGTGAAAAACCTCTGCCTGGGACCCTGGAGAGCTGCTGCCAGTCTGAGTAAATACTGATCTTGATGGACGGAGGAACTGATTCAGTGTAAGGTAGCTTCACATGTGAATGACAATCTGATATTAAGAATAACTACATTAAGAGTTAATGTAAGCACTCTCTTCAATATCCACAGAGCCAGCTTGGTGTAGAGAGCCAGCTTGGTGTAGTGGTTAAGAGTGGCAGACTCTAATCTGGAGAACCAGGTTTGATTCCCCAGTCCTCCACAGGAAGCCAGCTGGGTGACCTTGGGTCAGTCACAGTTCTCTCAGAACTCTCTCAGCCCCACCTACCTCACAGGGTATCTGTTGTAGGAAGAGGAAGGGAAGGAAATCGTAAGCAATTCTGAGACTCCTTTGGGTAATGAAGAGTGGTGTATAAAACCAACTCTTCTTCTAATACTCTTCTGCCTGCTGATTCTAAACTAGATCTCAGATTTGGAAGATGGCAATAGATTTTTTGACACTCAGGTTACAAAACCTATACATCCTGATCCAGCCAAGAACACCTGTACATATCACATTTTCTGATTAGAAACCATGGGCATTAAACTGATGTGCCTCTAAATATGGATCAGAATGTACATTCAACTGCAGAGGCTGTCTCTCCACACAGTACTGTTTTCAATGAGATATGAACATTAATAGTTACATTTTAATACTTTTTCAAAAGCACAACTAGGGCTGAACTGAAATATAAACACAGTTTCAAGAGTACAAAGTGTGAGTTTCCAGAGTCTGAAATATGGTTCCTAAAACTCAAATACCAAATTTTAGGGTTCTATTTTGGAGACTGTATTTCAAATCTGCAATGCATTTGATCAGCTAATATGAATTGTGCCACTCAGCTAAGCTATGGCTTAGTGGCAGAGCATCTCTTTGTGCACATTAGACCCCAGATTCAATCTTTGACATTCAAGTTACAGTTGAAAGGATCAGGTAGAAGGTGAGGTGAAAGACCTCCACCTGATACCCTGGAGAGCCAGTGCCAGTCAGAGTAGACACTACTGATTTTGATGGGCCAAAGGTATGATTCAGTATATGACAGCTTCATATAACTTATGTTTATATATTTTTGAGACAGACTGAGAATATTAAACTACAATTTAGGCTCTAGTCATGTCCAGTAAACTATTACTAGAGCTGCCTGAATTTTCTTTGGAATCAGTTCACTTAGTTCCTTCTATCGCACATATATACAGACCAAAAATTATAACAATTAAAACTAGGCATTCCGCTTCTTGTTACGCTTTCATATTAAAATAAAAGCTTTTGGAACACTTTCTGAATAATTTGTTCCTTATGTTTCTGCTTTAGTTAGCCCTTTATGCTAACCAAACACCAGTCTCACGCATACGGAGGAATTTACACACAATTCTTTTGCACATCTAAGTGAATTCCCTGGCACATAATACATCTCTTAAAATGCACATGTCACGTGATTTTAGCATATAAACAGAGAAATGTAAAATGTGAAGAAGTCCTAAAATACAGGGAGATAAGCTTCATATGAAAGCAGTGTACCTTATTTTGTCATAATTACCCAGAGGTGTTCAACTATTCAGTTACAGGTATCAAGCTTGAAGAATCCTCTCAGTGGAGATTGTTGAGCTAACCCAGACTACAAAATCAGCAGCATAACATCTGTTTGCCGCACTGCTTAATTTCAGACTGCATGTTTTAATGTTAGAGCTTTCAGTCTGAAATTCTAGTTTTCTTATATACAAAGATTTCCTTTCATATTGGAGAGTACTGAATTGCAACTCTCGTCATCTAACAAAAAACATACAACATGACTAACTTCAGTTGTTGTAGATTTTCTGGGCTGTATGGCCGTAGTCTTGGCATTGTAGTACCGGACATTTTGCCAGCATCTGTGACAGGCATCCTCAGAGGTATAACACAGAAAAATGGAGTACTCTCTGTGACAATGTGAGCAGAAAAATGGCAGGCAGGTAATTTATATCTACTCAGGAAGGTGGGGTGGGGCTGAATCATTATCTTGTAGGAGTTTCCCAGGCTGAGACATGCTAATGCAGGAGATTTCCTGAGGAGGTTCTTTTGCATATGGATTGGCTGTTGAGATTCTAATCTTATCTGTAGTGCTTGTTGAGAAAGAGACTGATATTTTCTATTTATGAATCTATATCTGCTGACACACACACTACATGAACTGTGCACACACATGTATACCCATAGGCATAGAGAAAGCTGCTTGCATTTCCTATTGTGAGAGATTTTACATAGAGGACACTTGCCTGCATTTTATGTTAATGAGGTCTGCACACACATTCAGCTCAGAGCCTTATGGGAAAGAGAAGCACATTTTGCCATTATTAGCAGAAACAACAACCAAGGAGAGGAAATTCCCCATTGCTGAAGGACCTGATGTCATATAGTACATGGATCCGATCTGCATCTGAATTGCCATTTCCTATTGGATAGTGCCTTGATTGCCGGGGAAAGCCAAGATCTATTTGCACATCAAGGAGGGTCCAGGATGCCAGGACTTCACACCTGACCAGATGGCTTTCCATGAGTTAGAGTTTATTAAAGTTTCAAATATTGGCCCAACCCCTAGGGTTGTTGTTGTTCAGTCGCACAGTCGAGTCCGACTCTTCGCGACCCCATGGACAATCTCCCGCCAGGCTCTCCTGTCTTCCGCCGTCCTCCGAAGTTGGCTCAATTTCATGTTCGTTGCATCGCTGACACTGTCTAACCATCTCATCCTTTGCCGTCCCCGTCTTCTTTGACCTTCAATCTTTCCCAGCATCAGGGTCTTTTCCAGTGAGTGCTCCCTTCTCATTTGGTGGCCAAAGTATTTGAGCTTCAGTTTCATTATCTGGCCTTCCAGGGAACAGTCAGGGTTGATTTCTTTGAGGATTGACTGATTTGTTCTTCTTGCAGTCCAAGGGACTCTCAAGAGTCTTCTCCAGCACCATAGTTCAAAAGAATCTATTCTTCGGCGCTCGGCCTTCCTTATAGTCCAACTCTCACAGCCATACATGACTACTGGGAATACCATTGCTTTGACCATGCGGACTTTTGTTGGCAGGGTGATGTCTCTACTTTTTATCATGCTGTTTAGGTTCGCCATCACTTTCCTCCCAAGGAGCAGGCATCTTTTAATTTCATGGCTGCAGTCACAGTCTGCGGTGATCTGGGATCCCAGGAACGTGAAGTCTGTCACTACTTCCACGACTTCCCCTTCTATTTGCCAAGGAGTGATGGGGCCGGATGCCATGATCTTAGTTTTTTTGATGTTGAGCTTCAAGCCCACTTTTGCGCTCTCCTCTTTTACTCTGAGCAAGAGGCTCTTTAGATCCTTTTCACTTTCAGCCATTAGAGTGGTATCATCTGCATATCTGAGGTTGTTGATCTTTTCCCCAGCAATCTTAATTCCCGCTTGTGATTCATCCAGGCCAGCATTTCGCATGATGTACTCTGCATATATATTAAATAAGCAAGGCGACAATATACATCCTTGTCGTACTCCTTTTCCTATGCTGAACCAATCAGTTGTTCCATATCCGGTTCTAACTGTCGCTTCTTGGCCCTTATACAGGTTTCTCAAGAGACATGTGAGGTGGTCTGGTACTCCCATCTCTTTAAGGCCCTGCCATAGTTTGTTGTGATCCACACAGTCAAAAGCTTTAGCATAGTCAATGAAGCAGAAGTAGATATTTTTCTGGTACTCTCTTGCTTTCTCCATAATCCAGCGAATGTTGGCAATTTGATCTCTAGTTCCTCTACCTCTTCGAAACCCAGCTTGTACTTCTGGTAGTTCTCTATCCACGTACTGTTGAAGCCTAGCTTGTAGGATCTTGAGCATGACCTTGCTAGCGTGTGATATGAGTGCAATTGTGCGATAGTTTGAACATTCCTTGGCATTGCCCTTCTTTGGGATTGGAATGTATACTGACCTTTTCCAATCCTGTGGCCACTGTTGCGTTTTCCAAATTTGCTGGCAAATGGAGTGCAGCACTTTAACAGCATCATCTTCTAAGACTTTGAATAGCTCAGCTGGAATACCATCACCTCCACTAGCTTTGTTGTTAGCAATGCTTTCTAAGGCCCATTTAACTTCACATTCCAGGATGTCTGGCTCGAGGTCAGTGATTATACCGTCGTGGTTGTCAAGGACATCGAGGTCTTTCTTGTATAGTTCTTCTGTGTATTCTTGCCATCTTTTCCTAATCTCTTCTGCTTCTGTTAGGTCCCTACCGTTTTTGTCCTTTATCATGGCCAGCTTTGCATGGAACGCTCCCTTGATTTCTCCAACTTTCTTGAAGAGATCTCTAGTCCTTCCCATTCTATTGTTTTCTTCTATTACTTTGCACTGTTCATTCAGGAAGGCCTCCTTATCTCTCCTTGCTGTTCTCTGGAAATCTGCGTTCAGTTGGGTAAATCTTTCCTTTTCGCCTTTGCCTTTCGCTTTCCTTCTTTCCTCTGCTATTTGTAAAGCCTCATCAGAAAGCCACTTTGCTTTCTTACATTTCTTTTTCTTTGGGATGGTGGTGATTGCTGCCTCCTGTACGATGTCACGAACCTCTGTCCATAGTTCTTCAGGCACTCTATCTATCAAATCCAGACCCTTGAATCTATTCTTCACCTCTACTGTATATTCATCAGGGATGCGATCTAGGTCAAACCTGAATGGCCTCGTGGTTTTCCCAATTTTCTTCAGTTTAAGTCTGAATTTTGCAATGAGTAGCTCATGATCTGAACCACAGTCAGCTCCAGGTCTTGTTTTTACTGACTGGATAGAGCTTCTCCATCTTTGACTGCAAATTATATAGTCAATCTGATTTCGGTGTTGCCCATCTGGTGATGTCCATGTGTAGAGTCGCCTCTTAGGTTGTTGGAAAAGGGTGTTCGCTATGACCAGTGTGTTCTCTTGACAAAACTCTGTTAACCTTTGCCCTGCTTCATTTTGCTTTCCAAGGCCAAACTTGTCTGTTATTCCAGTTACCTTTTGACTTCCTACTTTAGCATTCCAGTCCCCTATGATGATGAGGACATCATTTTTTGGTGTTAGTTCTAGGAGGTGTTGTAGGTCTTCATAGAACCGGTCCACTTCAGCCTCTTCTGCATCAGTGGTTGGGGCATAGACTTGGATTACTGTGATGTTGAATGGTTTGCCTTGGAATCGGACAGAAATCATTCTGTCATTTTTGAGATTGTATCCCAGTACTGCCTTTTGCACTCTCTTGTTGACTATAAAGGCCACACCATTTTTTCTACGAGATTCCTGGCCACAGTAGTAGATATAATGGTCTTCTGAGTTAAATTCGCCCATTCCTGTCCACTTTAGTTCACTGATTCCTAGGATATCGATGTTCAGTCTTGCCATCTCATTTTTGACCACGTCAAGCTTACCTTGATTCATAGATCTTACATTCCAGGTTCCTATGTAGTATTGTTCTTTGCAGCATTGGACTTTCCTTTCACCATCAGACACATCCACAACTGAGCGTCCTTTCGGCTTTGGCCCAGCCGCTTCACTCTTTCTGGGGTTACTTGTACTTGTCCTCTGCTCTTCCTCAGTAGCATATTGGACACCTTCCGACCTGAGGGGCTCATCTTCCGGCGTCATATCTTTTAGCCTTTTGATACTGTCCATGGGGTTTTCTTGGCAAAAATACTGGAGTGGGTTGCCATTTCCTTCTCCAGGTGGATCACGCTTGGTCTGAGTTCTCTGCTGTGGCCTGTCCGTCTTGGGTGGCCCTTCACGGCATAGCCCACAGCTTCATTGAACTGCGCAAGCCCCCTCGCCACGACAAGGCTGTAGGTTACCAGCAACTATTCAGCAGAGAGAAAACATGCAGAGAAGACCTTGCTCCAAAGTGTAGAGAATACAGCAATAACACTAGAGTCTATAATCATTCTACCATAAACCAGAAGCAAGGTGTATGGTATCACCCTTACTTTATACAAAAGCCTTGCCCAGTCTCTTTGAAATATGGGACATTTGGCTGTGCAGCCTCAGTGCTTAATATCTGCACCCCCATTGATCAAAATTTTCCTTCTGCTGTTGTCATCATCTAGAAAAGCTTATTCTGCAAGAAAATAATGTTAGTTTAGGCTCTACTCATATTACGTAGACAGCAATTCAGGATATTAGCTATAAAAGTGTCCACATTTTTACTGTCAACCAACTTGTTACCTTGCAGAAGATTCATTCACAACTATGAAACTGATACAACTCTCAGGTACCCAAAGGGAATTTTACCATATGAATATATTTAATTATACCAGACTTCTTCCAGCTCAGGTTAGGTTTCATTGGGTCATAAGCACAGCAGTACAGATGGTTTGTGTCTCCGTATGTGAACAGGCACCATGATATGAATTCCTGATTCCCTTTCCTAGGAAACACAGTGTCTCTCCCACACAGAAATTCTATGGTACTGTTGGGATAATTTAACTTTTGGGACACTGGGAGATATAAAATGATACAAGAAGAGGCAAATATAAAAGAGCAGAAAATATGGATGTGGAAATACATTTAGCAAAAAAATATTCATGATTGATTTGGAATAAGAAATCTAATTTAACAAAATGATCCATTTTCCAGCACTGTAATATGTTTTAACAAGCTTTAGATGAGGAAGTTATAATTTAACAGAAAGCTTCAACTTATATCACTGATTTGTTACTTAGCTGTACAACTATCCAATAGTTCTTTGTTAAGCTGAAGGGCAAAGTGCAACTTTTAAACAAATTACAACCTAAGCTTCTTGACTGTTCTGTCAGCGCTATCCTAAGCAGAATTACTCTCTATAACCTTTCAAATCAATGGGCTTAGAAGGGTGCCCTCTGTTTAGTATTAACCTGTGTGTTTCTTACTGAAATTGGTATTTCCTAACTCAGAGACAACACAGATTTGTTTAAGGGCTCAGGAGCAGGATTTAGGAATGAATAAGGCAACTCATTCCTATACTTGGGAATTAAGCACACAGGGCTCTTTAAATGCCTGCAGTTGGCTTCTCAACTATACCAGGAGGATATTCCCCATGCTCCCATGACTCTCACACATGCAAATCCTCCTAAAAGTCATACCTATAAGAAGAATTGTAACACAGAAAGGGTTTATTCTTCCTGCGTCTACTTTCAAGTCAAACGTTGCTTATGCTGAGAGTCCAAATCATAGTTCCCATAAATTGTAAGGACTCTGCACATCCTACACTAGAAAAGTATTCTAGTTCTAGTATATCATTAATATAAACAGGGTTCAAATATTCCTCTGTATCAGTTATTAGCTGCTTCAAAGGACACCCACAGTAACAGCAAAACAACAGTCTGACCACAGAGCAAAGGTGTTGGAATCTCTGTCATCTGGCTGTCATCTTCTCTTCATCAAAAGTCTGTAATGTTATTGTTTATTTTGTCGGAGGTAACTGTGGATAAGTCCTTTATGCTATATAAAAATGTAATGCTTTCTTTTTTCATCTGGTTAAACTTCATCCTTGCTTTGCGGCAATACACTGTTAAACAGAGGATTCTTTAATAGATTTTCTTTTTGTCTTTCATATACAAAAAATGCAGTTTGCTCCAATATTTAGAAATTGTCTCATGCCACTGTTGTGGCTCTCTTATTCCATTTCTGTGGGCCTCAACCTTTGGAGTGGATGCCGTTCAATATGCCTACTCACTCTTTCATTCCATTTCTCTCGAGTTTAACTCAAATGCAGTTATCAGTTTTGGAATTTAATAAGACAAGGCAATCATGGATTACTTAAATTGTAAGTTGGATCATACAATTTAATTTTTCAGCATTTAACATATAATGTTAACACTTATGCTTTGCTTTAGTTCTGTTGCTTAGATTTCTGGTCAGTTCTACAACTCAAATGTTATTTAATTGTTTATTGACTGTCCCATCCTGTTGATCGTATTTACTCTTTCTGTTAAGTCCACCCTTAAGTCTCAATGAGAAAGGCAGACTATAAATAATGTAAATAAAAATTAAATGAAATAAATAACTGCATAAGCTAATTGGACAAAAGATGTCCAGTTTAAAAGAGGCTGGAAGAATGAAAACACGTAACCTAATCCAGGGCCCTTTGTGTGGACTTCCCCATTGATCTCAAAAAGAGGACAAAAGGACATATATTCCCCTTTATGAATGTAGAACTGCCTCCTCCATTTAAAGGAATGGGAAAGATCTTTGCACATACACCATAAACCCCATACCAAATTGGATTGCTAGACTGATTTTTTGTGGAAACTCCAGGTAGGTTGCAGCCCAACAAGTCCTCTCAGATTTCCCTTGTTTCCATACCTACATTTAATAATTAGCAAGGATATTTACTGCCGATGTTCTGTCCACAAACTTACCCAGTGAGATTCTGTGGCTGTCATTATCTGGATAGCAACTGAGTCGGACATCCTCTTGGTGGCTGCAGTCATGCCTTCCCCACTCCCTCTTTGAACACTGGAGGATGGCAGACTCCTTTCCTGAGCAGCTGACATCATCCAGCCAGATAGGTCCCCTGGCCTCTTCTATGTAGCGTTCCGATGAACTCCTTCCATTCCTGTGCACACATAGATTACTGTCAGTATTGTAAATGACACAGAACACATTAAAGAGGTAAATCACCTTTTGTGATTCTAACAGATCCAATGAACACTCCAAAAGAAGACTAGGTTCAGTTTCCATATTTTGAATTAATGTGTCTCAATCTTCAAATAAACATTCCTAAAATCAATTGACATTACCTTTTTTTAAGCCAACATTCATCAGAGTACTTAATTACAAACTTAATGTAATGTGCAGAGTTCTGTACTGCGTATTACTGTTCTGTACTGCATTTTTTTTGATGCTGAAGACTGGTACAGATGTAATGCTGCAGATTGCTTAACCATGTGAACTTCCTCTTCTCACTGTGGTTAACTATTGCTTCAGTTAACTATATTAGCTGTGGTCAGCCTAACTAAAGTTCCTGCTTAACCCAGGATCTTAAGCACTGGAATCTCCACATCAGAAAAGGTAATGATGGGAAGGGGGGAACTGTGTGCTTTTCCAACATGCTCCTGATTGCTTAGCCATGGTTAGGCAAACTGCAGCACTATATCTGCACTGATCTTGATTATATGTGATCTACACTGATCACTTCATATGTCTCACATTATTTATTTATTTATTTATTTACTTACTTGGACTTTTACCCCGCGCCCTGGTCCTGGTTACCATCAACCTGGCCTCCCTAGGCCCAGGGGGGGCCAGGCGGTGTTGTGATCCAGACCGTAGTGCTCTTGGAGGAATGTACGGGGAAAGGCGGTCCCTCAGGTAGGCAGGCCCCTGACCATTTAGGGCTTTAAAGGTCAAAACCAGCACCTTGAAGCGAATCCGGAACGCTATTGGAAGCCATTACAATGACTTCGGCACAGGCTGGATGTGCTCCCGCCTGGGGAGACCCATCAACAACCTGGCTGCCGCATTTTGCATCAGCTGCAGCTTCCGGAGTTGCCCCAAGGGCAGCCCCATGTAGAGAGCATTACAGTAGTCTAACCTCGAAGTGACCATAGCGTGCATCACTGAAGCCAGATCATTGCGCTCAAGGAAGGGGACCAACTGCCTAATCAGCCGAAGGTGGTAAAAGGCTGCCTTGGCAGTGGCCGCTACCTGGGCCTCCATTGTCAATGAGGCATCCAGGAGCACACCCAAACTCCTGACCCTCGGTGCTGGCACCAATGGCGCCTCACCAAATGCCGGAAGAGGGGCACCTTTGACCCCTCAGAACTCATTCAGTAGAAGGAAACTGAATTACTGGAGGGGGGGAATAAAACAAGTGAAATAACATGACTAACCCCTCCTCCACAAAATAAATAAAAATCCCCAAACTTCTTTCAGTTAACTCATGCAGTATGTATATGTACATCCTGAAAAGCACCATAAGGATGCAACTTGGAGCAAAACCAAAAGCAATTCTACATAATCTATGACATAATTTGCAGAGTTATCGGCACTGCTTTGCAAACTGATGTTCTTACTTAAATCCCAGCTGCCGACAGGCCACATGTGTGTTCAGTTCAGTCCACCCATCATCACATATAGTGCCCCACTGTCCATTGTAAAGCACTTCCAACCATCCCTCGTGGTTCCCTTTCCCACCAGCTAGTCTGATTGCACCATCTGTGGGTTTAAAAAGAGTCAGTTTTAAGAGAGAACTATGTGGGACTTAAGCTGCATCATAAAATTTGCTGCAACATATCATTAGGCTAGATGCCGGTTACTCACACTATTTATAAAGAACATAATGGAAGCCAAGAGGGAGGAGATCCAATGAACCAGCATTTCCCATAGTTTACTGCTATCCAATTTCATTATTCAATAGCTTTAACAAGCTTGAATCGCTTGTAATGTGTTATCACAGCAGACTGGATTTGAGCCAGCTGGGTGCAGTGGTTAAAAAGTCAGCCTAGGACTGGGCTCAAATCACCACTCAGCCATAAAGTTTACAGGATGACCTTGGACCAGTCACTCACTCACTCTCATCCATAAACTACCTCACATGGTTGCTGCAGGGATAAAATGGGAGGAAGGAAGAACTATGCAAGTCACCCTGTGCTCCTTGGAGGAAAGGTGAGGTAAAAATATGATTCACTGATGAACCCTGAATTCTTTTTTAGTCCTCCTGAAAGGCTGCTCCTAATGAACAGGAGGCCCTTAAAAGTGAAGTAGGATGCATTCTGTCCACAGACATCCATACAGCAGGAAGAAGAGGTTTTAGCTCCCCACCCACACATGCTGCTTTTGCATCCTCACACCATCTCATGAAGCTGCTATTGGCGTCACTGTGAAAGGTACATGAAGCCACATAAGTAACATGATTTTTATAATGGATCCATCAGCAGGTCCAGTCTGAGAACATGAAAACAGTGAGGGGAAAGGGGGGGAGCCTAAAGCCACTTCTCCCTGCATGAGGAGGTGGTGTATTCAGAAGGCAAAATCTTCCATTGCAAATGCCACTCAAAATCCTTGTGTTGTTCCCCAATGAACACAAGAACTTTGTATTGTGTAAACAGAGCCCTGAAAACAGCTTTTGGGATGACATAAAAGGAAAGGGGGAAGAATCTATTCTACTAACTCCTTTTGCTCACAGTCCACGAGGTCCAACCCACCACACTTGTTTTGTTTGCAATTAGATTTGTGGCACGACTTCTCTGTTATAGCCTACAGAAGACATGGTTAAGGTCCTATGATCAGAAACTTTATTTAACATAACTATGGATTTATTTTACACCATTATTTAAAAATCCTGCATAGCTGTGATTTCAGCAGTACAGGATAGTTACCTCTGATAAAGCATGTTGTTGTTTTTAATTGTAACCACTGCAAATATTTTGTCCTATGCTAAAGTTAGGCACAGGAAAATAGCCTGTGGTCTTAAATGTTTGTGATGACTTCTCAAGGCACATGAGTGACAGATGTAGGTACAGCATTCTTTCCCCCACAGGATTTTCCCTACTTTCTTGTCTCTGTACAACCAAAGAGGCTTACAGTCAGCTTTTCAAAGCTATGACTTTAGCAATTCAGCCATCTACCTGCTAAAGGAGTGCAGGATACTCCTGCATCTTCTTTGTGACCACAGTTGTGCTCTTGCCAGGAGCTCTTTAGACACTGTTCTATAGACAGTTCATTTCCTGTACAACGCACTTCATCTAGCAGCACAGGCCCTGAACCTTCTCCAAAATAAGCTTGGCTCCAAGCCTTGGCAACTCCCCTGTTCAAACACACAAAAAAGAAAATCAGTTATAGCTAACACTCAGAACTAGGGATGGGCATGTACCAGTTTGCAAACTAAAGTCTGTCACAGATTTTGGCTGGTTTGTGGTTTGCAAAGCAATGTTTGTGAACTGAATAGCTGCCACAAACATCCACAAATTTTGATGCCGTTTGTGGTGGTTCATAAAGAGCAGAAAGCCATTTAAACCTCTGCTTTCTGCTCACCACAGCTTTTCACGGGGGGGGGAGCAGAAAGCTGAGCGCTCAACTGTTTGGTTTAAATGGCTAAGAGTCCTTTACCCCCCTGCTTTCTGCTTGCCACAAAAAGCTGCAGAAAGCAGGGGGGGTGAAATGGCTGGGAGGAATTTCACACTCCACTTTCTGCTCACTGCCAAAAGCCATGGTGAGCAGAAAGCAGGGGGTGATATGGCTTTGAGTCATTTAAACCTCTGTTTTCTGCTTACCACAGCTTTTCATGGGGGAGGCAGAAAGCAGAGGTTTAACCTTTAAATGGCTCACAGACTGATATGAACCGGTTTGGCTTGGGAACTGGCTTACTGGTTCGTGGTTCAGCCACAAACCATGAACTGAATCAAACTGCAAAAACGCAGTTCGTGCCCATCCCTAGTCACAATGCATGCCCAATTTAATTCTTGCTTTCTGATGCTTGGTACAAGTGTTGCAATCCAAAGTGCTGAAAGTGATATTGACCAAGGATCCAGATCAAGTGCATATAGAGCAGTTACCTAATATGCATGCTGCTTAAAAGGAACACCTTATGGGTTTTGTATCACCCATTTTCATCAAGATGTCACAGTGCATTTATCATTTTTTAAAAAAATACTCTACTCAGGTTCTTTTTTAACATTATTATATTAGTAGTATTTTTACAGTTCAAGTTCAATAGTGAGAAAAATGCTTTCAAGCTTTGTAATATACTAAGACATGGATGAACAGATCTCCTGACTGTCCTACCTGCCTGCTTTGAACCTAATCACAATCCAAGTATTTGGAGGTGGTTAGTAAAAAAAATACATTCTTAAAGGATGTGTTTTGATCCTGGAGGGCTCATTTTGCTTTTGGACTATCGCTGCCTATCAATGTGGCTGTTTGTTGCAGTTTATATATTTGTAAACATATGTTCCAAAAGCTTAAGTCTCCAATACACTTTCCTCACCAGGAAAATTACCCTGAACAGCTGCCCTTAAAGTGTCTTACCACTCAAGCAACTGGGTATTAGTGACAGGAACACAAAGAGTCTAGTCTCAGGATGTCCAGAAGTGTGAGTGGCAACCACTGGGGCAGGGGGGCACTGGTGAAAGAAATGAATGGTGACATGAGTCCCTGATGGCTGTGAACCCAATTACCTCAGACTGAAAAAGCAGAATAGGAAGAGGGCTGTGCAGGAAGGACAGGTGAAGAAGAAGACACAAGTTGAGCAAGGGGAATATAAATCAAGCAAGTTATGTCCAAGGATAGGGAAAGCAAAAGATCCAAAATATTTATAACAGGCATAATGTCATAAAAGACTGATAAAGTGCTGAATTAATTCGCTATTTATGTTTTCAGACCTTTAATTTATGTGCAATAAATTAGATATTGTGGGGCACTAGGCAGACATTTAATTATAAAAAAGTAATATTCTACTAATATGTATTATCTGCTGCTGTATGTTTTTATTTTTCTTTCATTGCACTATATTTCTGCTTGTATAATACAATTTCTTACATTGTTTAACATATCATGTTTAATACTTATTCCTTCAGACTTCTGCAGTCCTAGTCCCATTATATTACTGATAAAATGTCCTCACATTCTATCGATTGCACTGACTTACACTATGTTAGCCGCACTGAGTCTCAATAAGAAATTACAACTATAAATGATAGAAACTTCTTTCTTTCTCGGTCTTCACACAATGCCTGTGTATGTCAAGTGAAAGAAAAAACAAGGATTTAAAATATCACCATATAGTATGTAAGGATGCTGATATGCGAAGAAACCTATTATCATGTAAACAGCTAGACTAGGATATCTTCTGATCCCATGTGTCTGAACCAAGGATTCTATGTACCAGATCTGAGAATACACATGTAGTGTGTCAGAAGTTAGAAATCCAAATACTATACCATAATTTAAAAAAAAAAGAATACTGGAAACTAATTATCTAGCTAAGCAGTATGTTCTCATTGTCACTAGCAAACTAATCCTGGTGGGTTTTATTGCAAAGTAATGCCATATAAAAGCTTTGAGAATGTAGGAAGGTTAGTACCAAGAGGCTTTATTTTACAATTTCAGAACAACTCCAGCTGGATTAGCTCTACAACAATGTACACAGCTCCATTTCTATTTCATAACTTGATTCATTGTACCTTTCTGCTCTCTGTAAATTTTCAGACATGGATAACGAGCCTACCTGCGTCAACATCTGGCTATTATTTTTGAGATCATAATCTAAATTCATATAAAAACCATCTGGCTAGTGACTATTTAAAACAACTATCATTTACAAAACTCAGCAAACAGAAGGTATTCTAGCCAACCCCTCAAACTTGAACATAAAGCAAACATATTATCATCTTAGTGTGTGGCTTGTGTATGGAATTGCCAAATACCAACAAACTGGGGTTCACTAATTTGAGCTGGGTTGAGGTCCAAAGAGTGGGCTTGCACTCAGGTATCAGGGCTTCCTTTTTCCTTCAACACAGCTTGTTACATTGCACTGAACATCAGGGATGGGGACTTGGAACCCCAATAAGCACAACAAGGCTCATAGTGCAGACATTTGTACCCAGGCCTAGCTACAAAGATATGGGCCCTAACCAATCTTCATATGTGAATTCAGCAGATAACAGTGCTTATGTTACTATCTCCCAAGTTCAGATCCAGTGAGAAATAATAATGTGATAGGACAGAGTAAGGGCACTGTGTACTATGTATGAGTCATCATATGCGTGTGAAAACATGACATTATTACATTTAGATGTTGACAGGGGAGAGAAAATTCTTCATTAAGCAAACAAGTGACAGGCCAAACCTCTCCAATAATCTTGTCCACATCCATAGATTACAAAAACTGAAACACATCCAGATAAATGTAACCAAGAGATGCAAAGCTCATGACTGATTCAGGACTGAATACAACACGGAGTCCAAGCTGGAGAATATCTGAATGAAAATCCATAGTCTCTCACAAATTTATATCAGTGGGCTTCTAGACATAGGATGGGACATCATTCCATGAATTTCCACATCTCCTCAAGAAGCCACTACAATATCATCTTATATATTGTGCATTACTAGACTCTGCAGGGAATACCAAGACACAGACTGCCATTTTCACCGAAAGCCCTGTGTTGTTCACAACACTTAGCTCTCTGTAGAGAAGGTGAAAGATTCTATTTCTCTGAAGAGAGCATAATGGGTTCAACAATTTAAGTTATCAGTCACAATTTAAAATGTAAAGCATGCATCCAAATCAGCTTGATCTTCTTGTTCATTAGTAATTATTAGCTTTGCAACTGAATACAATGTATTTGGGGGAAAACTTACCCAAGACCAAGCTGCCTGCAGACTACCTCAGCATCAGCATCATCCCATTGGTCATCACAGATGGTTCCCCACTGACCAGAATGGTAGACTTCTACTCTTCCTTCATGAGCACTGCTCCCATCGACCAGCCGGACTGGGATAAAATCAGAGGCTGAAGGGAAACACATAATGAGAAAAATTAAGTTTTCACTTCCTAATTACCGACAACAACAAAAGTATAGCAGGAGGTTCCAGTTTTGAACTGATACACCATAGCAATAAGGAACCACATAGACTTTGTTCCATTCTAAGATGGCCACTGACTGTGTAGCACAATAGTATTTGTAGAATGTCAACAACAACCTTAACTCAACAGACATTGAAAGTAAGTATTCCACGTGTCCTTTGCTTGATTGATAAAGGGAAAAAATGTAACCATCAATAGCTTTTTCTCTTATTATTGAATGAGAACATAAAAGGAACCTTGCTGGAACAGACCAAGTTTCAAACAGTAGCCTCTGAGAGCACAGTGGCCTCAACAACACATTCACAACTAAGGTTATCACTGAAATGGACCCTTTGTGAAGCTCTTCCTAGAACTGTAGTCACAGAATAATCGCAGACACTTATATGGATTTTTCCCAGGGCTTTTTTTCTGGGAGAATGTGCTGGAATAGAGTTCCAAAACTCTTTGACAAAATTCTTTTTAAAATGTTCATGAGTTTTCAGTATACAGATTGAAAACGTCATTTCCCTCCTGAGAGTTCCGGCACCTCTTTTTCAAAAGAAAGAAAGAAAGCCCTGGATGCCCCCATGTTTCCCACCCCAGACCAACTAACTCTTAATGTCAGGAGATGTGAGCTGACATTTATCTATTCATTTTATTATGACTATTATTAGTTATAATAAAATAAGTTAATAAACGTCAGCTCACCTCCTGCAGCATGGAAGGAGCCTTGGAAAACAAACACAGCAGTCTGAAACATGACACACAAACACATTACAGCAGAAGTCTGTGTAGATTAATATCTAGAGAGCAGATTTCCAAAAGGACATCGCAGAACTAGAAAATGATAATGACAATGGGATTGGAGAACTTCTCTAGGACAAAAGGCTAAAGCATTTGAGGGTTTTTAGTTTAAGGGAAATGACTAAAAAGGAGGGCATGACAGAGGTTTATAAAATGATATGCTGAAAAAGTAGAAAGAAAAATTTCCCCCTTCAACCATAAATACTAGAATTTAGAGTCATCCCATGAAATATACTGGCAATAGAGTCAGGACAAAATAAAGTACTTCCTTACAGAATACATTATTAACTTATGCAATTTATGGGTGATGGGCACTAGCTTAGCCGACATTAGAACATTTTGTGGGGGAAGAGTATAAATGCCTATTAGCTATGACAGCTAAATGAAACCTCCAAGTCCAGAAGACTGTACATCTCTAAATACCAACTGCTGGAAGACAAACAATGAGAGAGGGATATGGGCTATTGTCTACATATCCTGCTAATGGGCTTCATAGAAGCATCTAAGCAGCCACTGCTGGAATGGGACTAGATGTCTCATGTTCTTATAATGCTGTGGGCCTTGGTCTTAGCAACTGGGGTCATTTCCTGACAGAGTGCAGTGGAGCGGCGCTCCAGCAGTAAAGAGCCCGGGGCGGGCCTTCCCGCCATTCCTGGCCCGCCTGTGCAGGTGGATGGGCCAGGGAAGGCCTGCAGAGCCCTCCGCCCCCTGGGACTGGCAGGAGAAGGGAAGAGGAGGTGGGCAGACATGCCCCCCCTTCCCCCTGAGCCTCTCCGCCTTTGCAGAGAAACTCGGGGGAGTGGGTGGGATTTAAATGCCTTTCTTTCCCTTCCCCACATGAGGAAGGGAAAGAAAGGCATTCTAAACATGCCTGGGTCCCCTGCCCGATCTTCTCCAGGTGCCTTGTGGCTGCGGGGCACCTGGAGAAGATCAGGCAGGGAACCCAGGCATGCTTGCATGCCTGCCCTTTGCAAGGGGATGTAACATACGCAAATGAGCTCCTGCACCTCTCTTTTTATGAAATGACCTCTGCTTAGCAACATACCTTAGTGATACAGTGCCAGCAGGGAATTCAGGATGGAGCATGATTTCAAACAGCAGAAATTCTGTTAGAGAGGAAGGGCTAAATAAGTATGCCATGATCAATGATCACTGTGCTGTTTCATTGCTGAGATCAGAACGCTAAGGACAGCTGTTGTCTCTCAATCCAGAAAAATCATAGGAGTGCTGTCCTGGAGCAGCTCCAAACCTGATATAAGTAAGTCTACCAGTTATTTTTGAGTCAGAAATTTTAAGGATGAGTGGACTGCAACAGAAATTTAAGAGGAAGCTGTACTACTTAGGTCCCCAGTAATTTCCATTCATTACCTTGTGTACGAAAACAAAGTGAAGGATTATTATTCTGAGATTATGCAATTTTATAAATACACCCTTTAAAATGGCCTCCTTCACCCCTTCTGTTATAGTTAAGGTGAAGAATAATTACTTTGAGATGATCCAATTGTGTAAATGCATCTGTAAACATACAAGTCAATCAAGACTTCAATCGCTGCAGAAAGACTGAACTTCCATTAAAAAATCTAATATTGCCACAGGAAACTGTTATTCAGATTACACACCATTTTATTAAATATGTTGGTTTGGCCTGTTTAAAAGTCTCTACTCCGTATGTAATCTACTTCGTTATCATGCTGAATTTATAATTTAGTATCTTTCTACTTCTTTACAATGATAAATGGCACCATCACTTATTTATTTCAAACATCCCACCTTATCTTCTCGGACTCAAAATGGCTGACAATGCAGCAACCACTAATTTAAAAAGCCTAAATTTTGTCTTAATCTGTCAGGCGGGGGGGGGGGTCTTCATTAATTTAACTGTTGCATGGATGAGATATAGAAGAAGAGTGAAGTGGAAACATACATGGTTCGTGTTTATTATTTCCCTCCAGCTCATTTGAACTTTAACTCTCACATATTAATCTCTCACATATTAATGTCCCTACATCAAGAATCTGCTCATTTACAGGGGTGGCAACAGTGGCTGATATACATTTTTGGGACCCTGAAGCTTGAACTGTTATGGGGCCCCCTTCCCAACCAGCAACAATACGGCAACATCCAAAAAGGTCCAAAGGGCCTTGCTGCCCTTACAAGGATCTTGAGGCCCAAATGACGGAGAATGGGGTACTGGGGTGGAGGCCTTGAAAATGGACCATACAGTGAGCCCCTTCCCACCACTTAAATACTTTAAAAACTCCATCAATTTTGTTGAAAAATTCACTCATTAAAAAAAGTCGCTTCAGGGTCTCTCTAGGATTAAGCTTATTTAGTTTCACAGTATATCCACCCCTGGATGGAAAGGAAAGGTTGGACTTGAATTTTAGATGAGGTAGGACTTCTGGAAGCCCTTGACCTTCCTGCTCATCAAAACTATCTTCACTGGTTTTTTATCCTTTCACGTAACCAATCTTCACTCACTATCAGGCATGCTCCCATACTGACTTAGCTAGTCCATGAATACATCTGAGTGACTTATGTGGTAAAAGTGATTATTAAAAGGGATGCCATGATAGTGCAAATCACTGTTAACTGCATCTGTATGCAGTCTGAGTCACACTTTTGTTTCTCCAGCTGATAAGGTCATACTACTGTTATTTCATAAGTTACATGAACTGACCCAAAAGTTATAAACATGCCTCATTCTAACCCCCCTAAACTACTTTTTTAAATACATCGTAGTCACTGAGCTCTCTATGAAAGCAGAATAAAGACATGTTTTAGTGCATGCTACCTTTAGTTAGGAAAAAAATGTTTTCTGCACAAAAATTTTGTTCATCTATAAATATTGGAAGTTTAATATTGGAAATATTGGAAGTGGCACAAAAGGCCCTTCATACCATGGTTTGACAAAGAGTACAACCAAATCTTAACATGTCTTTTTTTGCATCTTCTTTTTTTTTTTTTTTTGGTAAACAAATTTTATTTTCTCAGGAATACAACGTATAAAACATTTCATTCTATCAATTGTCTACCCCATTCCCAGTTCCTCCCCTCCCTCCAATGGCTTCCCACAATGCTTCTCAAAGGGTGAGGCGTGCCTTCCTAAGGAGGTGTAGGCAGCTGCTCAGGGATACATGATCTCATCCTACAAGCAGCTATCAGACTTTCATAGCTGCTCCTCCTCCCATTGACTAATGATGCTGGGTGCCATGGAGTAATCCCTATATTTTTCTGCAGGCACTGGGATTTGCATCTAGGAACCACAGCACGTTGCTTTAAACCCATAGCTTGAAAAGCTAGGCTTCCTTTGGTTTAACAAAATATTAAGTAAGTTCAAGAGTCTAGCACACAAGCCAGGAGAGCAGCCTTTTCCCTCAACAAAGATGAAGGGGTTGCGGAGAAATACAAGCAAGCAGATAATAGATAACCATCTGAAAGTCCAGTGAGAAGAGCAAAACAGGCATGAGAACCACTGAAACTGCAGTCCTGAAGGCAGAGCCCTCTGTATGAACACGACCGACCGTGTCTGCAAAATCTTTGTTGCGAAACAATTCCTGCTGTTTCTGAGTAATTAAGGCCAAGCTAGAGATGTGTTTGAGCATGAATCTGCCACAGTCATGTGGAAAGCAGGGTGATTCTGGGACATCTGATATATAAAAACAAGAACAGGAGAGGAGACATGAACCTCCCATCCTCTGCAGGGCTGCAATGAGGCAAGTCACAGGCAAGGGTGAGCATTTTGCTCCTTACAGTGGATCTCCAACCACTCTCCATTTTGTACATGACATTAACAGACCTTAATGCACAGCCATCTACTTTGGCTCTCAGTTTCCCACTAAGGGAATAATCCTTGTTCTTCACTTCATGTACCTTAACACCACAATTGTTATTGTATGAGAAGTGAAACAACTTCTTCCTAGTTTCAAAATGCAATATAGTTTAAAGGAGGGGAAATAATTATATTAGTCAGCATAGCTCTCATGTATTCTACCCCAACCAATCACAATAAGGCTATTTTACACTGAATCTAGAGACAGCAACTGTGCTACTTGACATAACACCAAATCAAATAATGTATATGCATTTGTAGTTTACCATGAGAAAAGCTACATGAGACAGCAGCTGCCATATTTTGAGGACACGTTCCACCCTGCCAAATATGTTTTTCACATAGCAGGATATTTTCTTCATCACCATGGCAATGGACATCACTCCAGTAAACAGGGATAAGGCCCAGTCCAGCGAATGGGGTTTGCTTTGCTGTGCCTCTTTCTCTAAGGGAGGAATAATAAAGAGAGGAAGTCAGGAAAAACCCCCACAGACAATTCCTCACTAATTCATTATGCAAACTAATGATTCCATGCTTCACCGCAGACTCTCCAAAGGACACCTCTGGGTCACAAGAAAGAAGCTAAAATATACTTTATGTAATGTGGGGTATAAGTATGTAAGTTTAATGTATCCAAGTTATTTTAAACATTACCCTATCAGCAGCTGATCTAGTTAAATTTGAGTGAATCACATATCAAAAAATCTTCATGTGCCCCACACATCTGCCTCTGTATTGTCAAGACATGTACTCTGATTTCAGTGCTCACTTCCCAGTTCCCAGGTGTACACATGTCTAATTCAGATCAGGACCACACCAGGTGGGAAGACCTAAAATAGCTCTTGAGATCCACGATTTACCCCACTGGGGAACCTTGCATGTACCGATGGGATACATATAAGTTTTCCTAATAGGGAAAATAGCGGCTCTCTAGGGCCACTTCAAGTTAACAAAATGGCATAGGGGAGAGACGTAAGCTCCCTCTCCCCATACACTGTAGTCCTGTTACAAATCAGGCATAAACACATCTGAGAATTAAGTTCCAAGCGTGGAACTCCCAAAGCATGTCTGCAACAGAATTAGGAGACAGAAGTAGGGAACTGGTGGACCTCCTGATGACACCTGGTATTTCTGGCCACTGTGTGACACAGAGTGTTGGACTGGATTGTTTAGGTCCACCAGTGGGGCCCAGACATTAGAAGCCCGCCCACTGTTGACCCCCCCCCAGCACCAAGAAGACAGAGCATCACTTGCCCCAGAGCCCCTATCTATACCTTGTGGCTAATAGCCACTGATGGACCTCCGCTCCATATGCTTATCTAATTCCCTTTTGAAGGTCAGGCAGGAGGAGATGTGAGAGACCTTAACATGACCCTGAAAAGCCACTTCCACTCAGCAGCCTTGACAGACCAGGGGCGATTTCGCACTAGAGTTGCCTCACGGCGCAGCCGCCGTCTGCCCCGACACAAACATGTCAATTTCACACCTGAAGCTGCGGGGCTGCATTTTGACTCGCGGCTTCACCCGATTTCCTCCGCAGTTTCGTGATCCTGGTTTTTGAGGATCACGAAACTGCAGAGGAAATCGGGCGAAGCCGCGGGTCAAATGCAGCCCCGCAGCCACGGGTGTGAAATTGACAAATAGTGTCGGGGCAAACGGCAGTTGCGCCACGAGGCAGCTCTAGTGCGAAATCGCCCCAACAGTCTGACTTAGCGCCTTCATGTGTTCAAAAACCATAAATAAGCCATTTAAGTTGAAGCAGCACAAACCAGTTTCAAGGTTTAAACACCCTGAGGGCATGGGCTTTATACTGATGAGCATAAATGGCATATCTTCCTAAACTTCTACATACATTGTCCTATACTGCTATGTTCACGAAATAATAGTAGACATCAGTGGATACTATAGCTAATACTACCTTTATGAGAAAAAATTAGTTGCTCCTTCTGAAATCCTCTTAACAGTCAAACCTCTAATTAATGGGAACTCAATGACAATCTATATTAGTTATACCTTGAGAAAGCAGCAAATAAAAATAATTTATATTTATACTAGATAAGGAAATTGCACAAAACACACAGCTGAAAGATTAGGCAAAACTCCAGCCTCCAGATGGGCAGAACTTTGATCTCACCTAATCCACATATTTGTATAAATTGATCTGGCATGGTAGATTAATATTAGACATTATAGAAATAGCTTAATGTCAGTTCAAACTGACCATCCTTTAAGCGTGGGATAATCTCTAGTTAACGTCACAGTGCAAATATTCCAGATAAACTCCTAAGGCTTAACAATCTGGGACATGAAAAAATAAAGTAGTATTTTGTGGGATAGGGCAGGGTAGTCACATTTAGTAGAGATGGGATGTCTATGCTATTAACAGAAGAACATGGGGACACTAGACAGCATTTTTTTCCCTATGATAGTGCTGCCATAGTGGGAAAACCCTTTACTTTTTAAATTCCTGTTAAAGTGTAATACTCTGTCCTGTACTTAATCGAGCTAGCATAGTGCAGCACACATTGGCTATTTAAATTTATCAAATCTTTTTGATTCAGCTTTAGACCTAACACAGTTATTTGTAACTGGAAATATGCACAAGCATTTGCCTCTCCCCCAAATCTTTTTTTAGAGTAAAAACTGCAGTGAAGGAGGTGTCAGTGACCAGACAGAGTTAGCAGATCTTAATTTAATTACCTCCTTCCAGGTGACCTTTATTTCCTAGGAAATACCTTCAAAAGTCATAATTGGTTCTTTAATCACACCTCTGCAGTGTAACCATAGCAACTTACTAAGTCTGATATTTTAATATACTGATGCCAGCTTGTCAAGTTACATGAATTCAAACGTTCGTATTTCAGTCTGTCAGGGATTATAATATAGATAATGATGGGGAAAATCTGCCTAACATTTATATAAAATTCTCTACTATTTTGCGTAATAATGAATTAGTCCGATAAGCATGTTCCTGGCCCCCATTTTCTCCAAATGACAAAAGTAACCATAGTGATTGAGAAAAAGGAGTGAGACAGACTGTGTATCAGGAATGGAGATGCAACTATGACAGTGGTAACTTCAACACAGAGCTTCACAATTTGCAGTTTGTAAGATACATTTTGGAGCTGCGGTGGCTCAAGTGGTTAAGACGCTGAACTCCAGGCTGTGGAAGGTCAGTAGTTCAGCAGTTCGAGACCCGAGTGTGCCGCATGACGGAATGAGCTCCCGTCTCTAGTTCCAGCTCCTGCCAACCTAGCAGTTCGAAAGCAAGAAATTGCAAGTAGATAAATAGGTACAACTTCAGTGGGAAGGTAACAGCGTTCCATGCGCCTTGGTGTTTAGTCATGCCGGCCACATGACCACGGAAATGTCTTCGGACAGCGCTGGCTCTTCGGCTTGGAAACGGAGATGAGCACCACAACCCTAGAGTCGGATTTGACTGGCTTTCGAGCAAGGGAACCTTTTTAAGATACATTTTAGTGACAAAGAAAGACTGGTTTTCGAGCAAGGGAACCTTTTTTAAGATACATTTTAGTGACAATGGTCAGTGCCAGAATAACATCCTTCCTCTATAGAAACTGAAACATTTTAGGCACTATGAATGTTCTAGGACAAGCAGAACTTATATATAGGAAGCCACATACAAACAATGTGTTAATAATCACATGTACATTTCTGGGACACTGCAGCCAATGATTACTCCTCTGCCTGAACAAGTAAGTGTGCAGCTAATACATATGGCGAGCTACATCCAATTTGCATGAGATTTCTACAAAGGAAATAGAAACAATGTAAGAAGTTTGCAATATTTGAAGCAACCATCCATTTCCTATTGAATCTCAAATGTGTGGATTGTGGTTAATCCTATACAAGAATTCTTCTAAGCTCGGGGGAAACTTTGGGTCAGAAACCAACAGTGAAAGAATGTGATGAAGGAATACACGGGGGCATCATAATTCTCTGGCTGACGTCTGTTGTATATCTGCAAGGCTGGTACTCCTACACTGTCAATGCAAATCTACATGTGATATTGGAACAACATTTGGCACACATGTACTGAGCACGCTACTATTTTAAAATTTCCATCAGCTCACAAGCCCATCATTTGCCAAAGAACACATTCCAAGATAAAAGGGGAATTTTGAAGGATCACAGACAGTACATACATACTTGAGCTAGGGTGGGATGAGTCAAGCCTGGGTAGGTGTTGGCCTTTGACAAGAAGTATATCCCAGTTGAACAATGGTCCTTGCAAAATTTTGACATGCTACTTTTGTTGTCTGACTTTCATGTGTTTCTCTCACCTCAATATTTCATCGCCTTGTTTGACCCAGAGTATTTCAAAAAGCACCAACAGAAACAATCTTTCCCTCCTCAGTTGAGGCATGGAATGGTAGATATAAATTATCCTAGGTTGAACTAGTTCCACTATACAAGACTCAGCAAGTAGTCAGTCATCAAAATGATCAATACTAGAAGTTTAGAGGTCAGTCCTTACAATGGCACCCACACATGAATACCTAATTACAGGTCACCTACATAGGAATGAAATTCATGTAGTAATTTCATATCTGACACCAAGTGTATTGTTCTTTGTACATGAAATGAAAAACTCTACAGGACATTCCATTCTGCTTCTTATTCAGAAATGAATTTTGTATAGAATCCTATAATGTATGCAGGATTGCTATTATCAAATCAGACCTCAAAATATGTCAGAAAATTGCTTGAAAATGGCATGAAAAGAACAACAGTAGCATAATCAAGAAATTCATCTTGCCACTTCTAACTGAGCTGAGTTGGCTGCCTATTTGTTTACAGGTCCAATTCAGTACTGGTAATTAATTACCCTTAAAACGCCAAATAGCTTGCAACCAGGAAAGGCTGCGGTGGCTCAAGTGGTTAGGAGGCTGAACTGCAGGCTGTGGAAGGTCAGTAGTTCAGCAGTTCGAGACCCGAGTGCCGCATGACAGAGTGAGCTCTCGTCTCTGGTCCCAGCTTCTGCCAACCTAGTTCAAAAGCAAGAAACTGCAAGTAGATAAATAGGTACTGCTTTGGTGGGAAGGTAACAGCATTCCGTGCACCTCAGCATCTAGTCATGCCGGCCACAGGACCACGGAAATGTCTTTGGATAGCGCTGGCTCTTCGGCTTGGAAACGGAGATGAGCACTGCATCCCTAGAGTCAGATTCGACTGGCTTTCGAGCAAGGGAAACCTTTACCTAATTAATTACCCTTAAAACTCCAAATAGCTTGCAACCAGGAAAACTAAAGGACTTACCTACTTGTCAGCTGTTTGACACACATCCATCTGTTTGACACAAAATCTTTTGGAATCAAGTGAAACACTTACCTTTTTGCCTAAAAATTCTATTGACTGTTGGTAGATGGTCTGTACTTCTCTTCATTGTCAATCCCTATTTAGCATCTTTTCACTGGCTGTATCACTGCTGCTGTTTTAATGCTCCATCTGGCTGACTTTGATATAATGAGTGTTCCTGTTTTCGTACTAGTTGACAGTACTAGACGTTGCTGGATTTCATGTGTTAATGTTTCTGTTATTTTATGATAGCATGTTTTGTGTATCATTCGGGAGGCTTACTCCTTCAGGGCGCTCCCGCCGCCAAAGCTCACGGGCATTGAGTATGCCGGTCTAGTGTGGGAAGCTGAGGAGAGTCTGGCTATCTGGGTGGTGTACCGTACGCCCAATGCACAGGTCTCTAGCCTGCTGTCCCTGTTGGAGGCTGTGTTGAGCTGGGCACTGGAGCACCCTAGACTGATAGTCCTGGGTGACTTCAATGTCCATGCGGAAGATGCAGCCTCTTTACAGGCGATGGACCTGGTGTCGTCCATGGCGACGCTGGGACTCTCCCAATATGTTATGGTTCCCACTCACTGGGCCAGGCACACGCTCAATCTGATCTTCACGGTGGGGGTTACAGTGGACCAGATCACTGCTATGGCACTGCCATGGTCGGACCACCATGCCCTGAAGGCCCGTCTGAACGTTTCACCCTGTTTGGGCGGCGAGTGTATTTTAGCTTGCCCGCGGAGCCAAATGGACCCTATGCAGCTTCAGATGGCTCTGTGGGATCTGATGCCCCCTGGTGGCTCGGAGCTTGTGGAGAACTGGCATAGATGACTCTCTGCAGCCATTGATGAGATCGCTCCCAGACACCCTCTGCATCCTCGCTCTAGGCTAGCTCCTTGGTATACCCAGGAGCTGCAGCTGATGAAGCGGAGACTAAGACAGCTAGAGAGACAGTGGCAGCGATTATGCGACAAAACTACAAGAACATCTTATACAACATTTATGAAATCCTATGAGAAGAGAGAGTTCTACGTGGCTATGATTGCATCTGCAAGCTCACGCCCGGCTCAATTGCTTAGAACTATTCGATCTTTAACAGTCTTGCCACAGGGCAGACCTAATGATAGGGAATTGGATATTGGCTGTGAGGCTTTTGCGAGCTATTTTGCAGATAAGGTCTTGTCACTCTGCAGTGATCTCCCCGCCACGGTTGAGACAGTGAGTGAACTCGAGGCTCCATGCACGTCTTCTAATCCGATTTTGGATTATTTCAGTCCATTCAGCCTAGAGGAAGTCGACAGATTGCTACATGCAGCCTTGACCCGTGCCCTCCGTGGCTAATTAAAGCTGGTCGTGAGGGGTTCCAAGGTACCCTTAGGGATATAATCAACAGTGCCAGGGGGCACTCAAGGAAGCAATGGTCCGCCCTCTTTTTAAAAAGCCATCTTTGGATCCGGTCGAATTGGCAAACTATTGGCCAGTGTCCAATTTGCCCTATTAGGGCAAATTAATTGAGAGGGCAGTGGTGATACATTTGCAGAGCTTTATGGATGACACTTCCATGCTGGACTCTTTCCAGTCCGGCTTTCGCCCGGGCCATGGGATGGAGACGGCACTGGTCGCCCTCACAGATGACCTCCGGCGGCATCTGGATCGAGGCACATGGCAGTGCTGTTGCTGTTAGACCTGTCGGCGGCATTCGACATGGTCGACCATCAGCTACTGACCCACCACCTCACCAACATGGGGGTGCAGGGGCTCGCCTTGCAATGGCTCATCTCCTTTCTCCATGGTCGGGGACAAAGGGTGGCACTCGGGGAGCAGATATCCCGAAGGCACCCGCTGATCTGCGGAGTGCCTCAAGGGGCAGTGCTCTCCCTGATGTTATTCAACTTCTATATGCGCCCCCTTGCCCAGATTGCCTGGAGGCATGGGCTAGGGTGTCACCAATATGCGGATGACACCCAGCTATATCTGTTTTTGGGTGACCAGTCCGGCTCTACTCCAGAAGACCTGGACCAGGTGCTGCAGGACGTGGCTGGGTGGCTTAGACTGAGCCAATTGAAATTGAATCCGACAAAGACGGAGGTCCTGTGCCGGAGTCAGAGCGGACCGGGGGTAGGGATCCCACTACCGGCCTTCGATGGGGCACCACTGGTGCCAGCGCCAAGGGTTAGGAGTTTGGGAGTGATCCTGGATGCCTCCCTAATGATGGAGGCCCAGGTAGTAGCCACTGCCAAGGTAGCCTTTTACCATCTTCGGTTGATCAGGCAGCTGGTTCCCTTCCCCAAACACAATGATCTGGCAACAGTGATCCACGCAACGGTCACCTTGAGATTAGACTACTGCAACGCTCTCTAAATGGGGCTGCCCTTGTCACAATTCCAGAAGCTGCAGCTGGTGCAAAATGCAGTGGCCAGGCTGTTGATGGGCCTCCCCATACGGGAGCACATCCAGCCTGTGCTAAGGGCATTGCACTGGCTGCCAATAGCATAACGGATTCGCTTCAAGGTGCTGGTTTTGACCTTTAAAGCCCTATATGGCCTGGGGCCTGCCTACCTGAGGGACCACCTTTACCCACATGTTCCTCAGAGAGCACTGAGATCAGGGTCGCAAAATTGTTTGGCCCTCCCTGGACCGAAAGACGCCAGACTGGCCTCTACCAGGACTAGGGCCTTTTCAGTGGCAGCTCCACACTGGTGGAATGAGCTCTCGGAAGACATCAGGGCCCTGCGGGACCTTATACAGTTCCACAGGGCCTGTAAAATGGAGCTCTTCCACTAGGCCTTCGATTAAGAGCCGCCACTAACAACACCAACAATACCAACTGGATTGTCAAGGCCCTTTTGTTAACACCAACTGCTGTTGGGCTGGACAACTGATGGGGGCCATACTTCAGACCATCCTATCATGGCCACAGGGACTTTGTCTTACTTGTACTGTGATTTGTTATGTTTTTGTATTTTATGGTGCTGTATTGTATTAACATACTGCTAGAGTCGGATTTGACTGGCTTTCGAGCAAGGGAAACCTTTACTATTGTATTAAAAAATGTGTTTAAGTGCTTGTTCGTTACTTCAATAAAGCTGAATCACTTTGCTGAAATCACTCTCCGGGTCTTTGTTAGCGCGATCTAACAGCCATGAGAGCCATTCAGCTGAAAGTGCAGGGAACACATACTTAATAAACAGAAACTGGGTAAAACGAGCACCAAGGTAAGAACACCAAGGAAGGGAAAGGAGTTATAGAGAACAATAAAGAAATACAATACTATCTTAGACCTCAGCAGCTGAACCTCACACATTTCCAGGTTCTCCCTATAACCATGAGTTCTAGAATGTATATTTTTTTAATGAGAAGGGAAATGGGGGAGGATGGGGACCCTAGGCAATTGCCCAAGTAACTTCCACTGATAACCTAACTCTGGATTCCGTTGCTCAGGTCACAACGCACATCAATCAAGAGGCAAAACAGAAATGTCTTAATCATCTATACCAAATTGTCTAACTAAATGTATGTTGTATATTACCTCTAATCAGATTTTCAACATCATTTTAAGCCTGAGAAAGAGGAATGAAAATCATAAAACGGTAAAAATTAGTTCTCATACATTTTTATTTTTGAGTCTCTAGAGAAAATTAAGCTTCCTTGAGTCTGAGAAGATAACGTGGGATAAAAATGTTTAAAATAAATAAAAATACACAAACGAGAATCTTATTTTATAGTTAAAAACTGCTGTTTACATTAAAAATACTTCTTTTCGAAAGTATACAGTTCTGGTGATTGATTCTCTGGAAGCTTTCTACAGGCACTAGGTTTATGCATAAGTCACAGTTACAAACAATTTGACTTACCCAAGTTCAAGTTGTTGGCATATCACCGATGCATCATTATCATCCCAATGACTGCTGCAAATCGTCCCCCATATTCCATTGAGATAAACTTCAACTGTGCCTTCAAACTCATTTTTGCCACCTCGAAGTCTCACTGACCCTGTTTCAAACAAAGAAATCAAATCTTTCTCACAAACAGATATTGGCAGCATCTACAACAATCTTTCTTTAAGTGTATCCACCAAACTACTTCAGTACAAAAGCCATATTCTTATTTCAGAACTTATTAAGAGGGGGGTTTTCCACTGGCATTCTTTGGTAGATTAGGCTAAAATAACTATTCACTGGTACAAGGTTTAGCAGCTTGGTGTTAGATCTGGCTAGCATAAACCGTAGTTTTAAGGTAGATCCACACAATTTCCCCCTTCAAACATTAGTTGACCTTGCAAGAGATATAGTACAAATTCAAAGGAACATGTTAATGTGTTCATGTGTCCCCTTAAAAAAGGAAGGAATTGCAAGAAAAGCTGCCTGGGAAGGGGCACTTACAGGGGTTATGTCCAAATGCAATTTGTACACAGGGCCAACCGGGCAGGCTGGGAAGAGGGCTAGGCCTCTCTAGACCTCTGAGAAGATCTACCAGCCACATATGCATTGAGAAATATTTACCCCATTTCTTCCTATAAACCTCAAAGCATTCCATATTAATCATTACTACACACAAAACAGCATTCACATTGAAAAGAAAATCCAGATAAAACTATACTAAATGACTAAAAACCTACTAAAAACACGCCAATAAATGCATTTGAATAAAAAACATTTAATAGCATTTTCCACAAACAGATCAAGGTTTGTTTCCTAGAGAGGTAATTCCACAGTAATGTGGCAACTACTGAAAAAAGTAAAGGTACGAATTACGGCTTGCACTTGTCTCACTGATGGAACTTGAAGGAGGAGCTGGCCTGAAAAAGGTGTTGACTGCTTTCACATCCATTGATAGTTGCTCTCTTCTCCAACTCCTGCCCAGTAATTCTCCATATCACATTATTTTTTATTTTATTATGTTATTTATAGTCCACCTTTCTCACTGGGGTTCAAGGCAGATTACACAGAGTTTATACAATCAACAGATTGGGATACCTGATAAAAATTTGTATTGCAGAAACCTGGAACCAACCAGAACGGCCGCCCCGCTTCCGGCCCTCATTCAGCCAGGAGGAGGCAGGAGAAGAGGGAGGGTAAGTTGCTTCCTCCCCGCCTCTCCCCACCCCTGCCTGCCTGGGGCCAGGGAGGGCCTTGGCGGGGCTTCCTCGCACTCCCGCTGGCCTTGCAGGTCCACCGCCGGGCCCCTGATGTCAGGGTGTGTGGCATATGCTAATGAGTTATGCTAATGAGTTCCCCTAGCTCTTTTTCTACGAAATGACCCGACTACTAACATTACACGTTAAATGATGCAAACATTACACAGTAGGATCATACTCACAACAAAAGGCAGTACACGCTATACACAATAGTACATATCACATTGTAATAAGCAATGTGATCAGTAGGATCATACTCACAACAAAAGGCAGTACAAGCTATACACAGGCCCTGGTCACACGGGAGGTTTTGGGCCGGAAGAGGGACGGATCGGGGGCACAGCAAATGGGCGCGAGCACACCGCAACATCTGGGAAGCGGCGCGCACCCGTCCCCGATCCGGCCCTTCAGGCTGAAAATGCGCTGAAAAAAAGAACCAGCAAAAGAGGACGACTTACCTGATACGGCGCAGCAAGCGCGGCCGTGGGATCGCCGGCGCGCCTGTCTTCAGGAGCATTTGAGGCTCCCAGCCGAACTGCACATGCACACACATGCGCAGCTGGCTGCCTCGCGCTCCCTTCCGTGGCTTTCTCCCCGGCATCTGATCGTGCCGGGAACCAACTGCGCGGCGGCTCACGAGATCCGTCTGATCCCGCCGCTGTGTGTTTCTTTTGGTGCGGCTTTACAAAGCCGCACTTTGGCCGCATCAATTTCCCCCCGTGTGGCAGGGGCCACAATAGTACATATCACATTGCTTACTACAATGTAATGAAAAATATGTCTTAACAGCTCAGGCAGAACATGTTAACAGTCTACTACCACAGAAATAAGCTCTTTAGAATCCCTTTTTTAAAGATATTTTTTTTAAAAAAGGAAAAGGCCACAAAATATACTCCTACATTAATTTTATATTTTTATCTTCTCTCTAATTATATCTGGTTTTAGAGAATTGGAAAACAATCACATAGATTACATAGCTTTTGCAGTGACCCATATAATATTATACATGACACAGATGCCAGAAGTTTATTTCAGGCCAGAGAATGCATTTGTTCATACTTGACCATAACCAAACACCCCTTTGCAAAGCTCATGTGAATTTATGGTCTATACTTCCTCCTGTCTACAAAAGAATTAAATAAACATCCCCCCACCCTTTGGTATTGTAAAAGGCATGACAAATACATAAAGTGAGAACGTTCTGCACATAAATAAGAAGCCTGATCATACATTTTAGCTTCACCTTGGATTTTCTATAGTAATGTAAAAGATTTCTTTAGTTTTGTGTGCCAACCAAAACTATTATACAACAAATAGATTTCAAAAAAATGAATCATGGAAAAGTCTAATAACTGGCAGAAGATAACACTAAGCATGACAAAGTTCCTACAGTGAAAGTATTCCTTTATGAAAACAAGTATGCAACACACCTGAAGACTGTCAGTACAACAATTACAAATACTACTTGTGCATTTTAGTTTGCACACTGTATTTTATATAGAAGGGCACTGTATGTAGTTTTGATTATATCCAGGGGTGAAGATCCTGGTGGGTGTATTTCAGGAAAAATACATTTTTTTGCCGTTCTTTCAGAAGACTTTAGAGGGGGAGAGCACTGAAATAAGTCCTGTGAAATATGCTCTTTTGGAATGACTGAAATGCTTTGTAAGATACGGTTTTAGTCACTCAGAATGTGTAGTATTATTTTTATGTCAGATGATAATTCCTGTGTATTCTGTAAATAGATACAACATATATTTAATGCAACTATTTTGGTCAGAATATGCTATGTGTATGAAATGATAAATATTATTGAATAGTTTTCAATGCTACGCATTTTAAGTCAAATATGCTCGCTGCAGCAGCCCCCAACACAGTCTGGCCTGACAGTGGGACAGCAGATGCTTACCAAAAAGCCCCATGCCATGAAGATGCCAACAGGATGGAGGCAGAAGCAGAAGTGGCATCAGAGCTGTGGCCAGATCCAGGTTCCAGCCTGTTGAACAGTTGGTAGCTGGAGCAGGGGAAGGCTGGACAAGTGTGCAGTTGCCCAAGGAAGTAAGCCAGTGGCAGGCTTGGGGTGTATGATGGCAGTGGTGGGCACTGGCAGGCCAAGAGGAAACATGGGAGCAGCTGGACTGGGCACTATAGAGAGGGACAGAGAAAAAAGGGAGAGCAAAAGGAGAAAAAGGGGGGACAAGGTGAGCGTAGATTCAGAAGGCGGTGGGGGGTGGAAGGAGAGAGGCAGGCAGAGCACAAGGAGGAGGACAGCTGCTAAAGCTAGGAACCACAGCATACAATTAGCCTGCAGGGGGCTGGATCTAGAAAGCCCACCCCTCCAAAATGTAAATGGTCAATAGGCCAGAGCAGCAACTAAGCACCTAGGTGATGTTAACTGTGGGCCAAAATCTTTGTTTATTATTCTTGAAATGTGACGATTGGTATATTTTATCCTTATAATGTGATGCCCTGTATCTCTTAGCAATGTCATACTTTTTAGCTATTACATCTAAATATGTTCTTATTCTGCTGTATTTTTTAATACGGTCGTTACCGTAAATAAATAAACTGTAACTGCTCTCTGGGGCTGCGATGGCTCAGTGGTTAAGATGCTGAACTGCAGACCAGAAGGTCGGTACTTAAGCAGTTCGAGACCCGAGTGCCGCATGAAGGAGTGAGCTCCTGTCTCTGGGCCCAGCTCTTGCCAACCTAGCAATTCAAAAGCAAGAAATTGCAAGTAGATAAATAGGTACCGCTTCGGTGGGAAGGTAACGGCATTCCGTGCACCCTGGCGTCTAGTCATGACAGCCACATGACCACGGAAACATCTTCAAACAGCAGTGGCTCTTCAGCTTGGAAACGGAGATGAGCACCGGCCACCTAGAGTCAGATTCGACTGGCTTTCGAGCAAGGGAAACCTTTACCTTTACCTTTTTAACTGCTCTCTAGAACTGGGTATATTTGCAATTTTGCTTGTAGAAAACTGACAAACTTCTAAATTTCATAAATCTGACAGTAGTAGAATGTCATATGAAAAGTTATACTTTATTCACTTTATGTAATTCAAGAAGAAAAATGAAAGTATATCTTCCATATATTTCAACTGTTCCAAGCATTAAAAAAATTAACTCACAGCTTCAACTTTTCCAGTTATTTTACATGTCTAGTGATATTGGAAGCAGCCTTCAATTTGACTGTTCTGTTTCATTTCATCGAAGAGATCACTCTTTTTATATCATTTTTATAAGGGCTACAGTTGCATATAGAAGAGCAAAAAATCTGTACAAACACAGCCCACTTCATCAGATGCATGATGTGTTACATCCAGTAGACAGAAATATTTTTACACTACAAACAGCAGAAGGAAAGAGGGAGAAATTATTTCAAAAAGAGCTCTGATAGACTCAGTATGTGATATTTCTCTGCAATTAAAACAGGTTTATCAGGAAATATGAACATAACCTAGTTTATTTTAAGTCAAATTGCTTGAGTTCACCTAAAATGAAAACACAGAGTGCAATTATTTCCAGTTGCCACCATGAAACATAGAACAAGACAGCAACAAACATATTTGTAAACAGAGAGACATGGCAGATAAAGGACATGTCTTTAGGTTGCACCATTTAGTTTCTGCAATACACTATTTGTCTCCCTGAATATTTATAAGATCTCATTCGAAAATCAAGACCTTAAGCAGAGTCACAAAACTCTTTAAGACTCATCTTCAGAAGAACATGCCAAGCATGCCAAATAAGTCATTATTGGATAACAGCAACAATCAAGGCAGACTCAACAATGAAGATACTAGCTGAATGATGTAGGACAGCTGTGATTCGGTATAAAAACATAATTCAGAAGAGACATGAGGGAACACACACTAGGAGAATCAAAACAATGTTTCTCAAGATATTATCATTATGGTCTGAACTTCAGCAAGGTACATTTCTGTCACCATTTCTTTCGTGAATTTCATAAATAAAGATGACTTGAACAGGGCTCCAAAAAACTTACCCAAACATCAGTCAGAAACCAGGAACAATTTTTGCTTGCAAGGAGATGGTCGTGGGACAGCAAAAGAGGATACCCAGGATACCAGAGGATATTAGAATTGATAATTTATTCATTTAGGAAATGTATATGCCACCTCTTGACCTGCTTGAGGTAGCTTACAGCTTAAACAACTCCAATAAAACACAGCTATTGTTGTGCCTTAGCTTAGCATCAAGCAGTGTAAAATACCAGGGTAAAAAAGAATGTTTTCGCCCGGTACCTAAAGGAAAGTCAAGTACTTAGGGCATTCCAAAGGTGATGTGTGACTACAGGAGATGCCCTCTCTCTAGCTGCCACCTGTCTCACCTCAGTGCATAAAAACAGGGCTTGAGAGGCAGATCTTAACTGCATGACTGGACAGTATGGGAGGAGGCTGTCCTTCAAGCACCCTGACCCCAAGTCCTTTAGGGCCCTCTTAGCAGTTTGAATTATACTCAAACAGGCAGCCAGTGCAGACCTTTGCAGGGCTCTTTTTGTAGAAAAAGCCCAGCAGGAACTCATTAGCATAATAGGCCACACCCAACAGCAGGAACTCATTAGCATATTGGGCCACACCCCTGATAGCACAGCTCATTAGCACATTAGGCCGCACCCCCATGTTACCAGAAGTGTGGTTATCCAGCCACACCCACCTTTTGCTTGTTATTCTGTTTACCTTGTTTGTTGTCAAAACCCAGGGCTTTTTTGTAGCAGGAACTCCTTTGCATGTTAGGCCACACACCCCTAATGTAGCCAATCCTAATGAGTTTCTGCTGTTGGGTGTGGCCTATTATGCTAATGAGTTCATGCTGGGCGTGGCCAACTTGGGAGCCAGCCGGAACTCCGCTCCTGTGCGTTCCTGCCCAAAAAGAGCCCTGCTTCAGTACACAGATGGTATTTGTCAAGTATCTGTGTTGGTTGTGTGTTAAGTGCTGTCAAGTTACTTCCACCTAGAGTGACATTATGAATAAATGACCTCCAAAACATCTCATTGTTAACAGCCTTGCTCAGGTCTTGCAAACTGTGGGCTGTGGCTTCCTTGATTGAGTCAACCCATCTCGTATTGGGTCTTCCTCTTTTCCTGCTGCTTTCGACTTTTCCTAGCATTATTGCTTTTCCAGTGAATCTTCTCTTCTCATAATGTGACCAAAGTACAATAGCCTCAGGTTTGTCATTTAGACTTCAGGCTTGATTTGATCTAGAACCCACTTATTCATCTTTTTATCGGTCCACAGTATCCATAAAACTATATTCCAACACATTTCAAAGGAATCAACTTTCTTCCTATCAGCTTTCTTCATTGTGCAACTGTCACACCCATACATTGCAATGAGGAATATTATGATATGAATTAAGTTGATATTGATCACCAGTGACACATCCTTAAATTTAATGATTTTCCCCCTAGCTCCTTCATGACTGGCATTCTCAGTCTCATGGCAATTCTGCATCTAGTATTCACTCCACATTTTCTTAACTGGGAGGGGAAAGTGCAGCTCAAAACCACATCCAAATACCTTGGGGCTACATCATACTGACTGCAAAGTTACCTCTGAATGGCCACAAAACAGCCATACTATGCATAAGGTACAATAAAATCTGATGATCAAAGGAAGTGAAAGCAGTATGCAATGCAGAAGGGAATTTCTGTTCCAATGTGGGCTTCATAAAACAACAGAGGGGAAAGCCAATGCAGAATCAGCCTCAATCTCTTTCTGATTTCTTGGAGTCAGTCTCCCTTCTGGTTGATGACTGAGCCAAGGTACAGAAAATCTTTCATTGAAGTATCTAGCTCCTGACAATAACTCACATTCCACGTTACAGACCAATGGAAGTTTCTGAAAAGTTTTCAAAGGCTGTGCCATGTAAAGTGCCTTACAATAATCTAATCTAGATGTGATCAGAGCATGGATCACCAAGGGTAGCTAAAAATCACACTTTTAAAACATTTACATGAGGACAGAACTTCTGCTGAAAGTACGCAAGGTTAACACATGACATGAATATACAAGACCAACACACATAAATTGGGGGTGGGGCAGGAAAGAGTACACTGGACTCCTCTCCCATTATCAAGTATCCTGAACCCACCTCTTCCTACAAACACTCATTCAAATGAAGGCACACACGTATTAGAAATACCTTGGCTTAAACTCATTGCTGTACACATATGATTGTTGTGTTCATGCTTTTGGAGAATATACCAAAGGGAGTGGGAGAAGCACAATCATTCCAGCTCCTCCTCTACACCTGTTGAACCTGTGCCCAGATACAACATGCAGGGGGCTACATGTAGGGGGCTACAACTTCCCTTACAAAGTATCTGGAAGGGAATGTGATGTGAAGCTTGCACTCAAGAGTGGGTACAGTCTGAAAGTAAAGCCCCCCCCCCTTGACATTTAATGAAATCTTGTCATTTAATGTAAAAATTATTCCAAATACTTTCTTCACATGGCTATTAGCCACTACTGTGGCTGGAAATACCTACTCTGACCTGTGATAGCAGTGCTTCGGCAACCAGATATATTCCAATAAAAGACATCCCCACCTATCCTATAGGAAACACTCACTAGCATGGCCCACTGAAATGTATGTTTTACATCCTTATGCAGTGCCATTCACATCAGTGGACCTTGAGCAGACATGTTGCCACAGAACGGGTACCCTTTACCTCTATAGGCATGCATTCAAAATATTAATATAATGTTTTATTCATGTATATGCATTTAGTACAATTAAGAGATAGGCATTTTTCAGCTGATGCACAGACAGAAGCAAAGTGCAGTTCAAGCACAGCACAATCCTATTTGGTGCAATCTTTTCAGTAGAGAAATTCTTACTAGCTTTCAACAAGAAAGTTGTACTTTAAAATAAAGGTCATCTGAAATAGTTATAGAACTTGTTTATTGTTTTTAATTAT